CAGCTCTGCAAGCTGTTCTCAGACTTCACATGTGCTTTGTGGTGTGTGTGCTATATGTTTAAGAGAAAGAATATGATGCTGGAGAGATGGTTCAGTGGTTAGGAGCACTTGTTGCTGTTGCAGAGGACCTGGGTTCACTTCCCAGCACCCTCAGTGCTCATCACCATCTGTAACTCTAGTTCTAGCGGATTCAATGTCTTCTTCTCCCTCTACAGGCACCAAGCATGCACATAGTGCCCGTACATGCATGCAGGCAAAATGTTCATAAATGTAAATCTGAAAATAAGATAAAAATATTAATTGTACAAAACTTTTTCAAAAAATAGAATAGAAAATATTTTCTAATCAATTTTGCAAAGCTGGCACTATCTTAATTGCAAGACCAGACAAGACATACTGAAGACAAACTTCCATGACAAATCTGTAAATCAAAAATTCTCCCATACATTTGGAAAATCAAATCTGTATAGCAGCAGGAAAGTGGTTATTACATAGTGGCCAGGAGAAGTTTATCTCAGGAATGAGAGGTTGGTTTAACATTGGAAAATTTATTGTGGTCAACTGAAATAACAGAATAAAGAGAAAAATCACAGTGATGCAGAAATGGAAAATAGAAAACACAGAAGGCAGAAGACAGATAAAATGATGCCTCAGATGTCAGTGAGGACAGAAGGGAGAGGAAGAGAGGGAGATGGGTGGCTAGGTACAGAAGTATCTTGGAAAGGTAAGGGTTGAAAATGTTCATATCATATGTAAGATACTAGACTGAAGGCAGCAGGATCAGGAGTTCAAGGTTATTCTCAGCTACATAGTTGAGTTGGAGGCCAGTGTGAGCTACACAAGACCCTTGTTAACAATAGAAAAGTTCAGTGTCTAACGGAGATAAAGAGTAATGGTCTGCGGGTTTTGAACACACATGTGTGTGCACACATGGAGTAGAAGTGTAAGTAGGGTTAATGACTTACGGTTTTTGTCATCCAAAGGAATGGTAAGATTTTGCAAATGTTGGGCCTTGATAAGTCACCCTAAGTGCTATAATTTCTAAATAATAAAGAAAAGAAAGAGACTACATAACTTGATGACTAAGAAGCAGGGACAGGAGCGGTAACTAATTCAAAAGAAGGTAGTGGGAGCCCCTTGTAAGAACAGATTGAAACCCAAATATGAGAAACACTTCTAGTGTAAATGGATCAAGTGTTCCAGTTAAAAGATAACAATATTAGGGCTGGTGAGATGGCTTGGTGGTTAAGAGCAGTGACTGCTCTTCCAAAGGTCCTGAGTTTAATTCGCAGCAACCACATGGTGACTCATAACCATTTATAATAGGTTTTGATGTCCTCTTCTGGTGTTCAGGCATACATTCAGATGCAACACTTATATATAAAATACAAATCTTTAAAAATGTTAAAAAATATAAAAATATTAAATTGGAATTCTGAAAAATCTAAGTCAGTGCTGCTCACTAGGGCATAAGGATTCAGAAATGTTGAATCAAAATGAAGAGAACGTACCACACTTACCAATCAGATTGTATAAAATCAGATAAAATGCGCACAGTGGCAGACAGTACTGAAGGCAAGGGTGCCAGACATCAACAGCTTATTAATGCATACATTTCCTGTCGTGTAGAGGTCCTGAACAGCCTGTCCTAGTAGGCAGATTGCTTTCCATGGGGAATTTAGGGATTCCAGGTGTATTGTTTGTAATTTAAAATTTATCATTTGTGTGTGAGAGAGGGATGTGGGGGGTTGTATGTGGACCAGTATGACACAGAAAGCATGTGGTGGGCAGAGGACAACTTTGGGTTTGTTTCTCTCCTTCTATGTTAAGCTCCAGGAATCACAACTCAGGTCATTAGATTTGCATAGCTAGTGCCTTTTTTTACCATGAGTCTTTTCACCAACCCAGTTCATTTTTTTTCTACTTCTCCATTTTGTTATCTTTTACAGTCATAGCATATTCTGTGGGATTATCTCACCTGGGGAAGAGAGCAAAGAGAGTCTGCATGTGATTAGGCCAGGCTTGAAGTCAGCACACGTTTGCTTATGCTTACATCTTACTAGCAGAACTTGACTCATAAACCAACAGGACCCCGGGTGGGCCAGTCAGTGGCTCGTTATCTGTGTGCCCATCAGACTAAGGAAATTATTTGGAGGTATATTAAGCTTTCCACAGTTTGTGTTATAAAAGTTTCAATTTAGAGAAAAACTAATTTTAAACTTAGATAAACCTAACAGTATAACTTCAGAATGGACAAGTAAACATTGACAGCAGGTCTAAGAAGAGTGAATACAGTTGTAATAAGGGTGATTTTGCACATAGTTGTAATTGATGTAACAAGCAAACAAAAATAAATGCAACTAGCATCTAACTCTCTGGTTTGATGCTACATATGTACTATATCTAAAAAAAATAATATCATAGTTATCTTTCAGGTGTACAAAGATGTTTGTAAAAAAAAAAACAACTGACCAATCTTGCCAGGCAGTGGTGGCAGCAGTGCACGCCTTTAATCCCAGCACTCAGGAAGCAGAGATGATTGGATCTCTGTGAGTTCAAGTCCAGCTTGGTCTACAGAGTTTCAGGACAAGCTCCAAAGCTACAGAGAAACCCTGTCTCCAAAAACCAACCAAGAAACAAAAAACTGGCCAATCTCGCCAGGTGGTAGTGGCCCACACTTTAATACCAGGACAGAAGGGCTGTACAGAGAAACCCTGTCTCCAAGAAAAAACAAACAAACAAAACACAACTGTTTAATCTTGCGTAGTAGTTCAAGCCAGTGTCAATACATTTCAGAACACTATTGTAATACAAATTGTAATCTATGACCTCTGTGAAGTTAACTTATGAATCAGGAATAAGAAGTTAATTATAAAATCCTAAGTGTTGGGCTGGTGAGACGGCTCAGAGCTTAAGAGCACTGGCCGCTCTTCCAGAGGTCCTGAGTTCAATTCCCAACAACCACATGGTGATTCACAACCATCTATAATGAGATATGTTGCCCTCTTCTGGTGTACAGGCACATGTATGTATACATATCAAATAAATAAAACTTAAAAAAAATCCTAAGTGTTGCAAGCTAGGGCTACATAGTGAGACTCATTTCAAAAATAACTAACATTTTCACATAACTCACAATTTTTTTTTAATTTTTCAAGACAGGGTTTCTCTGTGTAGCTTTGTAGACCAGGCTGGCCTTGAATTTACAGAGAGCCACCTGCCTCTGCCTCCCAAGTGCTGGGCTCAAAGGCATGTGCTCTCATCGCCTGGCTCACATAACTCATGATTAAAGAGCATTACTAGAAGCTAGAAAATATTTTAGGTATAATAATAAAAACTGTATCAGCAGTTGCAAACATCCAGTAGGCCACCTGTGGGTAGCACACTGGGTGAAGGTTTTTCTTGCATGCTCTTTTCTCTTCTCAAGTCGCCTGAAGACATTGTCAGCTGCAGACTCCTTTATGTGGGCCATGCTCAGAGAGTAGACCATCTCTGGTAAGACAGATTCAGGTCAGTGCTTCTCTTGGCCCAGAGTTTAGAAGCTGGTGGGCTCAGAATGGGAGTTAAACTTGGTGAGAAATTGGGGTGCAAGGCCCTGACCATATGCTTAGTTTCAGAATTAAATTTCTATGCAGTGGCCATCAGATGTAAATTTTTATAAAACTTGTCCAAAATAACCTGAACTTTGTATTGAGAGTTTGTTAAGAATACCGTTAATCAGCTGGGCATTGGTGGCATATGCCTTTAATCCCAGCACTGGGAGGCAGAAGCAGGTGAATCTCTGTGAGTTCCAGGCCAGCCTGGTCTACAGAGCGAGTTCCAGGACAGCCTCCAAAACAATACAGTGAAACCCGGTTTTGAAAAACCAAAACAAAACAAAAAAACAAACAAACAACCCTGTTAATCAGCTATTTAGTCAACAGGACTAATACACTCAACTAGTTCAGTTGGAAAAGTGAGCAGCAGAGATCCTTTCAGATCCTTCTAGGATTGCAAATTATTATTGCTGCTGTGAGATATATTGGGCTTTCTGTAGAAGATGTTGAACTACATTCTTGCATGATATAACAGTCACACTTCCGTGTGTGTGTGTGTGTGTGTGTGTGTGTGTGTGTGTGTGTGTGTATCACTATGTGCTTGAGGCAGATGTAGCAGAAAGATCTTCATAGGTTCATATTTGCTCTTAATCATGAAGTTTGGACCAAGGATTGTATATCCAAGTTGTATATTTATACTCCAATGTTACATGATAATGGAAACAAACCAAAGTTACAGTAGCATCAGTGTTGAACAACAAAATACAAAATGAGAATATATACAGGCCTGGTGGTGCACACCTTTAATCTCAGTTCTTCAAAGGTAAGGGTAGGAAGGTATCCTTGAGATCGAAGCCAATCTTGTCTGCATACACAGAATATGATTTTATTTATTTAAAATTCAGAAGCAAGCAAAAATAAGAAAAAAACCCATGTTCTGGGGTTGTTTACCTGTTGTTGTTATTGTTTTTTTTTAAGATTTATCATGTATATACTGTTCTGCTTTGATGCCAGAAGAGAGTACCAGATCTCATTACAGATGGGTGTGAGCCGCCATGTGGTTGCTGGGAATTGAACTCAGGTCCTCTGGAACAGCAGACAGTGCTCTTAACCTCTGTGCCATCTCTCCAGCCCTTACCTTGGTTTTAACCTTAGTAAGAAAAGCAAAGAAATACAACCATAAAAATTAAGGTGCTGGTTTTTCTTCCTTCCTTCCTTCCTTCCTTTCTTCCTTCCTTTCTTCCTTCCTTCCTTCCTTCCTTCCTTCCTTCCTTCCTTCCTTCCTTCCTTCCTTTTTTAGGTTTTTTAGTTTTTTTTGTTACAAGGTTTTTCCATGTACAGACAGTGCTCTTAACCTCTGAGCCATCTCTCCAGCCCTTACCTTAGTTTTAACCTTAGTAAGAAAAGCAAAGAAATACAACTATAAAAATTAAGGTGCTGGTTTCTTCTTTCTTTCTTTTCTAGGTTTTTTATTTTTTTGTTACAAGGTTTTTCCATGTAGTCTTGGTTATCCTGGAACTGTGGATCAGGCTGGCCTTGAACTCAGAGGGATCCACCTGCTTCTGCCTCCCGAGTGCTGGGATTAGAGGTGTGCACCACTACTGCCTGGCCAAGGAAGTGGTTTCTTGGAGGTTGCAGAATCATTGAGACCAGAGCAAGACATTCTGTGTTTGTGGAGTTCTGGCAATACTCCATTATCTGGCCAGGTTGGTACTAGGCTTACTGTGTAATAACCATGGGCTTACTGTGTAATAACCATGGGCTTCCTGTATAATAACCATGGGCTTACTGTATAATAACCATGGTAACACTGTATGAATGTTCCCTGAACTTTGCTGTCTATATGTAATAGTTTAGCATAAAAGGAAAAAAGAATCAGACTTTATAATGCATGGTATGATTTTTAAAGTACGTAGTACATGTGCATATAGAATGATGAAAAACACTTATCTTGAACTTAGTCATTTTGTAAAAAATGTATGCTCTGAAATTCTGTTTAGGGCTTTTAACATTTTCCAGATGAAAGATGACTAGACCTTCCTCTTGATTCCCAGGTACAAGATCCCTGTTACTTGAAGGATAAGGCTGGCACTGTTCGATGTTTTTGTGGAAGCTTCTGCCTCACTCCTGAGCCTCCCTGAACCTCCTTACAGCATATGACACAGGTATGCTGTTAGGATTTTTAATGTGGGCAGATTTCTTTCTTAAGCTGTTACCTTTTGCTTTGCATAAAAATAATATAGTTCCCTGGGCGGTGGTGGTGCAAACTGGGCCTGTAGTCCCAGCACTGGGGAGGCAGAGGCAGGTGGATCTTAGTGTGTTTGAGGCCAGTCTGGCCTACAGAATGAGTTCCAGGACAGCAGAGAAACATTGTCATGAAAAAAAATCAAAAATAAATAAATAAAAATATAGTTAAAAAACATGCTGAATTCACTGGCTTTTAGCTGTAGTAGTTTTCTTTTTAAGTAGTTGTTGAGGATCTGCTTATGTACCCCTAGGTTTTGGTTTGTATTTAACTGTATCTTTCAGCTTTCTTTTCTTTCTTTTTTAAGATTTATTGTGTGTGCATGTGTATTTGTGCTTTCTGTTTTATGGTTTATTGTTTGTGCATGTTATTTGCGTGCTTGTGTGAGTGTGTACGTGTGTGTGTGTGTGTGTGTGTGTGTGTGTGTGTGTGTGTGTGTTTTGGGTTTGTGCATCAGAGTGCAGCACATTCGTGTAGCCCAGAAGAGGATATAAAAATACCCTGGAGCTACAATTTCAGACACTTGTAGGCCATCTGATGAGGGTGCTGGGACCCAAACTTGGAACCTTTTTAAGAGCAGTATAGGTCTTAACCACTGAGCCTCCTCTTCTTCCCTCTTTCAGGTTTTAAGGCCAGCACTAAGCTGTGATCACAATGGACAGGGCCTCTGAGACTATAGAATGCTTTAATAACTTTAAAAAACAAGAGTAGTGGCCTTGCTGCCTTGCCAGGCCCACTCTGAAAGCTGCACCCCACCCAGAAGCAGCTCCTGACATCCTGCTGACCACTGTGCCACATGGGACTGTGCCTTCACCTTCTTAACCATGTTTCAATAGGAACCTGAAAGGGGAAAAATAATACTGTTTCATCTCTAATTTGTGATTGAAAAAAGAAATAGAGAAGGAAGGTCATGACTGCTCCTAGGTATAATGGTGATTGAGTGGCATTTTATACTTGGAATTAAAAACCTATATAATATGTTATGACATTAAGATAAATATAAAAGGGTTTAAAGTATTTGCATAGTGAGAGTTAGTACATGGCTGCTTTTGAATGAGATGAAAAATAGCTGGAAAACTGACTTGTCTCATTTTTTTTTTAAGATTTATTTATTATGTATACAGTGTTCTGTCTACATGTGTCCCTGCAGGCCAGAAGAGGGCACCAGATCTCTTTACAGATGGTTGGGAGCCACCATGTGGTTGCTGGGAATTGAACTCAGGACCTCTGGAAGAGCAGCCAGTGCTCTTAACCACTGAGCCACCTCTCCTGCCCAACTTGTCTCATTTCTAATTGCAGTGTCATCACAGTGCCACCCCATCCCACAGCTAACGGATTTTTCAGTCTGTGAAGTGGGGCTAGTAGCCAGTGAGTCTCCTTATTTATTATAATCTTTTCCACCCAATTCCCCTGGGGTTTCTTGTGCTGTAAATTCCAGGCTGGTTGTCCTGTGAGCAGACCTTTCCTTGCCTGGCTGTGGCCATTGTCATTGAACATGTGACGGGTGGGTATATGGAGGCTGGCTCCCGCCCTCCTTGTAGATGCTCGGTGCTAGTGTGTTCTTGTCTGGAGGCACAGGATCTGCTCCTACTCAGTGCTTAGTCCCTAGAGCCTGCAGAGTGCTTCTGGTCTATCTTTGTCACATATGCTCCCTTGAATAACTGAAATGCGGCTGTATCGTTGTGTCAGTAGTTCCCTCATCCGGTACTGCTCACCCTAGGGGACAGTTCATGTAGGAGATAGGGTGTAACTAGTTGTTACTTGAGAATTGGATGACGTTTTCAGATATTCTAGAGCTGGTCAGATGCCACCTGTGGCCAGCAGAGCCTCCTGATTGCTAGCCATAATTTTTGGCCTGCAGCAGAACCTGCCCTCCTTGCTTTCTGATCTCTGTAGGTGTTCTCCACTCATCTGGAACCTTCTTTGCTGCCACCTGCATCTCCCCGCTTTTCTCAGCAGCTCAAGTTTCCTTTGTGGAAAGTGAGATCTTGAGTCCCTAGGACTCTTGCCACTGTGGGCACTCATCATCTGGGAGCTCCTGCTGTGGAGCTGCTAATCATTTGCTCCTTGAGAGAGTGTGTCAGTCTTCACTTGTGATTTAGGAATATTTGAGTTTTACTTCTTGAATTTTTTTTTTTTTGGTTTTTACAAGACAGGGTTTCTCTGTATTGTTTTGGAGGCTGTCGGTCCAGCCTGGCCTCGAACTCACAGAGATCCGCCTGCCTCTGCCTCCCGAGTACTACTTCCTGAATTTTTATACTTACCTTTTTTTTTCTCATGCTGAAAATCTTGCTTCCTAACAGACTTAACATATTCACTCAGGTGTTTTAAGCTGCAAACATATGTGATTGTTTTAAATAGCAATACCATCATATCACCAACATTATACTACCAACATAGCTTTGTATTTCCTGCAGTTTCCTGTCACTGGACTGCCAAACAGCTGCCTTTTAAGTCCCTTGAGCCATGTGGTAATTTGAATGAAAATGCCCCCATGGGCTCATATTCTTGAATGCTTGTCCCCCGGTTGGTGGAGGTGTGGCCTCATTGGTGGAGGTGTGTCATTGAGGGTAGGCTTTGAGGATTTGAAAGACTCATGCCATTTCCCGTGTCTCACTCTCTCTGCCTCCTGCTCTCAGCTACTGCTCCAGTACTATGCCTGCCTGCCCATTGCCATGCTTCCTGTCATGGACTCACTCCTCTTTCTTCTGTTAGTTGCTGTGTTGTGGCGTTTTGTCCTAGCCATAGAACACCTAAGATAAGACATTCCCTTGGCAGTAGCATCAGCTGGTTACATAGTTAAATGTACTTATTTCACTATTTACTAAGGGAAGAGGTTCTTTTTCATTTTATATTTGTATTGTGACTTTATAAAACCTTTTTATGATTCCAAGTCACAATTAAATACTTTTCTAAAATCCTAGCTTCTATTCCTAATCCTTCTCCACCATAACCAAAAATAGATAGTTAAAGTTTCTCGTATGTTTCCAGAGGCGGAGAGGAAGAGGTGTTTTCTTTCTTGGGGCCCCATGCTCTCTCTAGGTATCGCAGAGCCAAGTGTTCAGTGAAGGAGAGGGGAGGGTTAGGTTAAAACTGGAGCAGAAGAGGGGGGTCTGAGGGAGAATGGAAGGAGAGATGAAAGCCACCGACTGGAACACCACACTTTATTATGAAGGTGTAGACATTGTAAGTCCCTCCTTAACATAGTCATGTTTCTTGCGCTGAGTCCATTTTCCTGTAAGGATAACACTCTAGGAAAGGGAATTGCAGCCTGCCTCCCCTGAAAAGATACTGCTGCTGGAGACCTGCAGAGCAACTTGAGCTCTGCATCTGTTCCTGCCGTTCTGTGTCGATGCCAGGACTCCAGCTATGGGCCGGAAGAGCTACAGGCCTGCATCAGAGAGGTGCTTTAAACGTCCTGAGTCCGGGGCTGGAGAGATGGTTTAGCACCTAAGAACACTAACTGCTCTTGGAGAGGACCTGGTCTTGGTTCCCAGCACCAGCGTTCAGTTAGAAATCACCTAGAGCTCTAGTTGCCTGGGATCCAGTGCCATTTCCTGCTTTTCTGAGTACTATGTGTTGGAATGCATATAGGTGAGATAAAATACTCATACATAAAAAAATAACTAAATCTTCAAAAATAGATATCCTAAATTGTATGGATCAAGTGGCTGCTATTTTCTTATACTTGCAAGCTCTTTCTGTAATTTAGTCTGTGTCTCTCATTCTCTCTTTGTATCAGGACTTTTAATAAGATAATTACTCTTGTTAAGCTGACTGAATTTAGACTCACCATGGAAACACACCTCTGGATATTATGAATAGCTAGTAAATCCAGAAAGATTTACTAGAAGACCATCATGTATACAGAGTACATGGATCATGTGCTGAGGTAGTAGAATAATTTAAAAGAAAGTGAGCTGATCACCAGCATTCTGCTACCTGACTGCAGAAACAATGTGACAGCCACCTCCTGCTCCTGCCACTGTGTCTTTATTGTTAGAGCACACCTGTCTCCTCACCACCGGCCCCTCCCCTCCCCCACCCCGCCCCTCCCCTGCCTTGTCCCGCCCTGCCCTCCATCACGGCCCTCACTGGATGTACGTCTTGAGACTTGACGTTAAGCTTGTTCTCTGCATGGGTGCAGTTTCATCCTTTCTTGTTGGCAGGAGCCATTTTCTTTGTTTAGCTGAAGCTTCCCTCTTTCGGTTTTCCCCGGGCTTTCCAGTTTTTTGGAACACTCTTTTGTCAGCAGATGACTTTTGCTTCTAATTTCTAAGCTCCAAAATGAAAATGTAGCGAAATCACAGGAGTAGAGACCTTAATGCTGAAGTTGGAAGTGCAAGTCACCATCCATTCTGCCGCATCACACGTGTAAGCCAAGCGTCTACAGCCGCTGGCTGGAAACTAAAGCTGTGTCCTCAGAAGACTAGAGATAATTTCCACCTGAAAATGAAAGAGTGGAGAATAGAGTGCTAAGTCTGCGTGAAGGACAGCACAGAGTCCTAGAATGTAGCAGTGTAGTGTGGGCTCCAGGCCTGCTGCTGCTCCCTGCTGGCCATGGTCTCTCTAACTGTCATGTTCTAGCTACCCCGCTCCCTTCACTGTAACTCCTTGCTGGGGCCCTCATTCCTTTTCAGCAAAAGCCAGCTTTTCGTGTGGTGAAAGCAAACATTTTTCCCTCTCTTGATTTCCAGGAGGATGGAAGTGGAAGTGTTGGCCATAGGGTTAGGCTTCCATCCTGTGGGGCCATCTGCTATGCTACACAGCTAGTTATGTGTGTGTTCTGTCTCTGGGCTATCTCTAACGCGTTTAACTGAACCAGCATAGTTTTCTTCAATATGATTTAAATATACAATTTCATTAGCTTATAATTGCTAAATCTAAATTTTAGGACAGAAGTATACTGTGTCTGTAGCC